AATGCCAGAAAATGCAGCAAATAAAGAAAAAAAAAGGAAACAATCGGTTAAAAAAAAGCACAGAGGAGGATTGGAAATGCAGACAACAAGCAAGACAAAAGAAAAATTTGCCATAACAAATGCATAATACAGCCAAAAGGCCAGAAAGATGCCATCAGGCTGACAAGGAACAAACTAGCAATGGCAGCATCAAGACATCATTCATGGAAACTCGGACAAAAGGCAGAGAAACAGGCATAAAATACCTTTTGAAAATGCCTGCCCAAAATGCTCTCAAGACTGCCTTTGGAAAAGCAGCAAGCAGGAAAAAAGAAAGCAACCAGCTTAAAAAGACAAAAAGGCGCCCATCAAAAGCCAGAAAATGCAGCAAGTAAAGAAAGAAAAGGAACAATGGGTTGGTTCAGAGGAGGATTGAAAATCGTTTTCACAAGGAAAAAACGTTCCAATTTGCATAAAAAATGCAAACATGCAAAAGATAAATAAGGAAATGCAGGATGAAAATCCTGTACATGCTGCATACAGGGCAGCAATGGTGAGAAACACATCCTCAAATGGAAGGATTTAGCCATCAAGGTCATTGAAAAAGGCAATATGTGCAAGAAACCAGTCATCAAATGAAGAAAACTAGCCAGAAAAAAAAAAAAGCCAGCTATTGCAAAAATCAAGGCAGGCAATGGAGGAAGTGGTCCATAAAATGCGGAAAAACAAGCCTGATTATGGAAAAAAATCAAACCATGAAATCCAGGAGTTATCCTGCGAACAAAAATGGAAAGCGAACGCAGTCATCAAATGCAGAAAACATGCTGAAAAATGAAGAAAAGAAAAGGACATCAAATGCAGATGCGTTCCTTAAATGCAAAAAAAATGAAACATGCAAAAAATGCAGACAACAAACTAGAAATGGCAAAATCCAGCCAGGTAAAAATTATGGAAAATAGCCATCAAAAAATGCATGTGCAAAAAAACCAGCCATCAAATGCAGAAAACAAACTAGGCTCTGTATGCAACAAGACAAAAATCAGGCATAAAACAAGGAAAGTCCATAAAATGCAAAAAACAAGCCTGAAAAAATTTGCTGGCTTATGAAATCTGCCCATGAAGTGTATGTTAAAAGCATTTAAAAGCTTATTCCCAAAAAAAACAAAAAAAGTCTTCAAAATGAAGAGAAAAGGACATCAAATGCAGCAGTCTTTGTAAAAAAAAAAAATGCAGAAACAAACGGTTAGAAATGGCACAGAAACTTGCCAGATATTATGGAAAATGCAAAAATGCAAGAAAAAAAGTTCTCAAACAAGACATCAATTACAGGAAAACAGCTAATGCATAATAACATGTCTCCAGCATTTAAGAGCTTATTCCCAAAAACAAAAAATCATGCAGGATCAAAAAGCCAGAAAATGCAGCAAGTAAAAAAGGCAGTCATCTTGGCAAGTAGAGCTGAGGAGGAGGACTTGAGGCAGATGAAGCAACGGCATGAAACTACAATTGAAAAAATGCCACTTATTCGCCCCAGGAGGGTGGGCCAGCCAGAATTGAGAAAAACAGGCCAGACAGGCTGACAATCCAGAGACAGGCAGGGTTGATGAAAAAGAGCCCATTGCCAGTCATCTTGGCGAACAAGGACACTGGAGAGCACCATAGGTTTGCTGTCTTTTGAAAACAAGGATACTGGAAACGTTCCATAAAATGCAGGAAACATGCTGAAACATGCGCTTAAAAAGATAAATAGGGGGAAATGCAGGATGCAGGTGTCTGTACATGCTGCAGGACACTGGGGCAGCAATGGTGAGAAAAATCCTCAAATGGAAACATGCAAAAGATAAATCAAGAAAATGCAGGCGACAAGGCAATATGTGCAAGAAACCAGTCAGCAAAATGAAGAAACACATCCAGAAATGGAAGGAAAAAAAAAGGTGACAAGCTATTGCAAAAATCAGGCAGAAATGATGGAGGAATAGGTCCATAGGGAAAAAAAAAAAAGCTATTGCAAAAATCAAAAACAAAGCCTGATAAAATGTAAGAATCAAACCATGCAAAAAATGCAAACCATGAAATCACTTAAATCAGAAAAAGAAAAACGGGCCAGAAATGGTAAAAAAAGTAGTCTTCAAAAATGAAGAGAAAAGGACATCAAATGCAGCAGTAAAGTCTTTGAATTGAAAAAAAAGCCTCCCATCAAATGCAGACAACAAACTAGAAATGGCAGGAAACTTGCCAGATATTATGGAAAATAAGCCAAAAAATGCAAGAAAAGATGCCATCAAATGCAGGGAACAAACTAGCTCATGTATGCAACAAGACATCAATTACAGGAAACAGTACAGCTAATGCAGGAAACAAGCTAAAAATTTGCTGGCTTGTTATCTGCCCATGATAGTATGTCTCCAGCATTTAAGAGCTTATTCCCAAAAAAACAAAAAAAAATTCATGCAGGATCAAAAAGCCAGAAAATGCAGCAAGTAAAGAAAGAAAAGGAAACAATCGGTTAAGTAGAGCACAGAGGAGGATTGGAAATGCAGGAAGCAAGACAAAAAGTTCACAATTTGCTATAACAAATGCATAATACAGGAGTGTGGCTTAGAGAATTGAGAAAAATGCCAGACAGGCTGACAATCCTGTCATTAGGGTTGATGAAAAGCCCCCATTGGCAGTCATCTTGGCAAACCTCTGACTTGAGGCTTGAGGAGAGCACCAGCATGAAACTACCTTTTGAAAATGCCACTTGTTCGTCCCTGGGTGGGCTCGAACCACCATCCTTTTGGTTAACAGCCAAAGCGCTTAACCGATTGCGCCACAGAGACAGGGGCCTATTATTTCAGAGTGGTGTTCAGAGAGGACACTGAATCGTTCCATAGGTTTGCTGTCACAAGGACACTGGAAACGTTCCATAAAATGCAGGAAACATGCTGAAACATGCAAAAGATAAATAAGGAAATGCAGGATGCAAGTCCAGTACATGCTGCATACAGGGCAGCAATGGTGAGAAACACATCCTCAAATGGAAGGATTTAGCCATCAAGGTCAGGCGACAAGGCAATATGTGCAAGAAACCAGTCACAAAATGAAGAAAACAAGCCAGAAATAGGAAAAAAAAAGCCAGCTATTGCAAAAAATCAGGCAGAAAAATGGAGGAATCGGTCCATAAAATGCGGAAAACAAGCCTGATTATGTAAAAATCAAACCATGAAATGCAGGCCGCGAATCAGTTAAAGCAGAAAACGGGCCAGAAATGGTAAAAAAGTAGTCTTCAAATGAAGAGAAAAGGACATCAAATGCAGCAGAAAAGTCTTTGAATTCAAAAAAAAGCCTCCCATCAAATGCAGACAACAAACTACTAGAAATGGCAGGAAACTTGCCAGATATTATGGAAAATAAGCCAAAAATGCAAGAAAGATGCCATCAAATGCAGGGAACAAGCTAGCTCATGTACGCAACAAGACATCAATTACAGGAAACAGTATAGCTAATGCAGGAAACAAGCTAAAAAATTTGCTGGCTTGTTATCTGCCCATGAGTATATGTCTCCAGCATTTAAGAGCTTATTCCAAAAAAAAAAAAAAATTCATGCAGGATCAAAAAGCCAGAAAATGCAGCAAGTAAAGAAAGAAAAGGAAACAATCGGTTAAGTAGAGCACAGAGGAGGATTGGAAATGCAGGAAGCAAGACAAAAAGTTCACAATTTGCTATAACAACAAATGCATAATACAGGGTGTGGGCTAGAGAAGAGAAAAACAGGCCAGACAGGCTGACAATCCTGTCATTAAGGGTTGATGAAAAGAGAAGCCCCATTGGCAGTCATCTTGGCAAACCTCTGACTTGGAGGCAGAGCACCAGCATGAAACTACCTTTTGAAAATGCCACTTGTTCGCCCCTGGGTGGGCTCGAACCACCATCCTTTTTGGGTTAACAGCCAAACGCGCTAACCGATTGCGCCACAGAGACAGGGCCCATTGGTTCAGAGAGGTGTGCTGTCGTTTTCCAAGGACACTGGAATCAAGGACAAGGATACTGGAAACGTTCCATAAAATGCAGGAAACATGCTGAAACATGCAAAAGATAAATAAGGAAATGCAGGATGCAAGTCCGTACATGCTGCATACAGGGCAGCAATGGTGAGAAACACATCCTCAAATGGAAGGATTTAGCCATCAAGGTCAGGCGACAAGGCAATATGTGCAAGAAACCAGTCATCAAATGAAGAAAACAAGCCAGAAATAGGAAAAAAAAAAGCCAGCTATTGCAAAAAATCAGGCAGAAAATGGAGGAATGGGTCCATAAAATGCGGAAAAAAACAAGCCTGATTATGCAAAAAAAAAATCAAACCATGAAATGCAGGCTGCGCGAATCAGTTAAAGCAGAAAAACAGGCCAGAAATGGTAAAAAGTAGTCTTCAAATGAAGAGAAAAGGACATCAAATGCAGCAGAAAAAGTCTTTGAATTCAAAAAAAGCCTCCCATCAAATGCAGACAACAAACTAGAAATGGCAGGAAACTTGCCAGATATTATGAAAATAAGCCAAAAAATGCAAGAAAGATGCCATCAAATGCAGGAACAAACTAGCTCCTGTATGCAACAAGACATCAATTTTACAGGAAACAGTACAGCTAATGCAGGAAACAAGCTAAAAAAATTTGCTGGCTTGTTATCTGCCCATGATAGTATGTCTCCAGCATTTAAGAGCTTATTCCCAAAAAAAAAAAAAAAAAATTCATGCAGGATCAAAAAGCCAGAAAATGCAGCAAGTAAAAGAAAGAAAAGGAACCAATCGGTTAAGTAGTGCACAGAGGAGGATTGGAAATGCAGGAAGCAAGACAAAAAGTTCACAATTTGCTATAACAAATGCATAATACAGGAGCTAGAGAAGGAGAAAACAGAATGGCTGACAATCCTGTCATTAAGTTTTGATGAGAAGCCCCATTGGCAGTCATCTTGGCAAAAACCTCTGAGGAACTTGAGGCAGAGCACCAGCATGAAACTACCTTTTGAAAATGCCACTTGTTCGTCCCTGGGTGGGCTCGAACCACCATCCTTTTGGTTAACAGCCAAAGCTAACCGATTTAACCACAGAGACAGGCGCCCATTATTTCAGAGTGGTGTGCTGTCGTTTTCACAAGGACACTGGAATCGTTCCATAGGTTTGCTGTCGTTTTCACAAGGATACTGGAAACGTTCCATAAAATGCAGGAAACATGCTGAAACATGCAAAAGATAAATAAGGAAATGCAGGATGCAAGTCCGTACATGCTGCATACAGGGCAGCAATGGTGAGAAACACATCCTCAAATGGAAGGATTTAGCCATCAAGGTCAGGCGACAAGGCAATATGTGCAAGAAACCAGTCATCAAATGAAGAAAACAAGCCAGAAATAGGAAAAAAAAAGCCAGCTATTGCAAAAATCAGGCAGAAAATGGAGGAATCGGTCCATAAAATGCGGAAAACAAGCCTGATTATGTAAGAATCAAACCATGAAATGCAGGCATGCGAATCACTTAAAGCAGAAAACGAGCCAGAAATCGTAAAAAAGTAGTCTTCAAATGAAGAGAAAAGGACATCAAATGCAGCAGTAAAGTCTTTGAATTCAAAAAAAGCCTCCCATCAAATGCAGACAACAAACTAGAAATGGCAGGAAACTTGCCAGATATTATGGAAAATAAGCCAAAAAATGCAAGAAAGATGCCATCAAATGCAGGGAACAAGCTAGCTCATGTACGCAACAAGACATCAATTACAGGAAACAGTATAGCTAATGCAGGAAACAAGCTAAAAAATTTGCTGGCTTGTTATCTGCCCATGATAGTATGTCTCCAGCATTTAAGAGCTTATTCCCAAAAAAAAAAAAAAATTCATGCAGGATCAAAAAGCCAGAAAATGCAGCAAGTAAAGAAAGAAAAGGAAACAATCGGTTAAGTAGAGCACAGAGGAGGATTGGAAATGCAGGAAGCAAGACAAAAAGTTCACAATTTGCAATAACAAATGCATAATACAGGAGTGTGGGCTACAGAATTGAGAAAAACAGGCCAGACAGGCTGACAATCCTGTCATTAAGGGTTGATGAAAAGAGCCCATTGCCAGTCATCTTGGCGAACCTCTGACTTGAGGCAGAGCACCAGCATGAAACTACCTTTTGAAAATGCCACTTGTTCGTCCCTGGGTGGGCTCGAACCACCATCCTTTCGGGTTAACAGCCGAACGCTTAAACCGATTAACAGAGACACAGGCGCCCACAGAGACAGAGTGGTGCCTGTCTGTTCACAAGGACACTGGGTCCATAGGTGTGCTGTTTTCACAAGGATACTGGAAACGTTCCATAAAATGCAGGAAACATGCTGAAACATGCAAAAGATAAATAAGGAAATGCAGGATGCAAGTCCGTACATGCTGCATACAGGGCAGCAATGGTGAGAAACACATCCTCAAATGGAAGGATTTAGCCATCAAGGTCAGGCGACAAGGCAATATGTGCAAGAAACCAGTCATCAAATGAAGAAAAACAAGCCAGAAATAGAAAAAAAAGCCAGCTATTGCAAAAATCAAGGCAGAAAAATGGAGGAATCGGTCCATAAAATGCGGAAAACAAGCCTGATTATGCAAAAAATCAAACCATGAAATGCAGGCTGCGAATCAGTTAAAGCAGAAAACGGCCAGAAATGGTAAAAAAAGTAGTCTTCAAATGAAGAGAAAAGGACATCAAATGCAGCAGAAAAGTCTTTGAATTCAAAAAAGCCTCCCATCAAATGCAGACAACAAACTAGAAATGGCAGGAAACTTGCCAGATATTATGGAAAATAAGCCAAAAATGCAAGAAAGATGCCATCAAATGCAGGGAACAAACTAGCTCATGTATGCAACAAGACATCAATTTACAGGAAACAGTACAGCTAATGCAGGAAACAAGCTAAAAAATTTGCTGGCTTATTATCTGCCCATGATAGTATGTCTCCAGCATTTAAGAGCTTATTCCCAAAAAACAAAAAAAATCATGCAGGATCAAAAAGCCAGAAAATGCAGCAAGTAAAGAAAGAAACGGAACCAATCGGTTAAGTAGTGCACAGAGGAGGATTGGAAATGCAGGAAGCAAGACAAAAAGTTCACAATTTGCTATAACAAATGCATAATACAGGAGCTTAGGCCAGAATGGCTGACAATCCTGTCATTAAGTTTTGATGAGAAGCCCCCATCGGCAGTCATCTTGGCAAACCTCTGAGGAACTCGGACTTGAGGCAGAGCACCGGCATGAAACTACCTTTTGAAAATGCCACTTGTTCGTCCCTGGGTGGGCTCGAACCACCATCCTTTGGTTAACAGCCTAACGGCTAACCGATTAAGCCGCCACAGAGACAGGCGCCTATTATTTCAGAGTGGTGTGCTGTCGTTTCACAAGGACACTGGAAGTTCCATAGGTTTGCTGTCGTTTTACAAGGATACTGGAAACGTTCCATAAAATGCAGGAAACATGCTGAAACATGCAAAAGATAAATAAGGAAATGCAGGATGCAGAATCCGTACATGCTGCATACAGGGCAGCAATGGTGAGAAACACATCCTCAAATGGAAGGATTTAGCCATCAAGGTCAGGCGACAAGGCAATATGTGCAAGAAACCAGTCATCAAATGAAGAAAACAAGCCAGAAAGGGAAAAAAAAAAGCCAGCTATTGCAAAAAATCAGGCAGAAAATGGAGGAATCGGGTCCATAAAATGCGGAAAACAAGCCTGATTATGTAAAAATCAAACCATGAAATGCAGGCTGCGAATCACTTAAAGCAGAAAAACGGGCCAGAAATGTAAAAAAAGTAGTCTTCAAATGAAGAAAAGGACATCAAATGCAGCAGAAAAGTCTTTGAATTCAAAAAAAAAAAAGCCTCCCATCAAATGCAGACAACAAACTAGAAATGGCAGGAAACTTGCCAGATATTATGGAAAATAAGCCAAAAATGCAAGAAAGATGCCATCAAATGCAGGGAACAAGCTAGCTCATGTACGCAACAAGACATCAATTACAGGAAACAGTATAGCTAATGCAGGAAACAAGCTAAAAAATTTGCTGGCTTGTTATCTGCCCATGATAGTATGTCTCCAGCATTTAAGAGCTTATTCCCAAAAAACAAAAAAATTCATGCAGGATCAAAAAGCCAGAAAATGCAGCAAGTAAAGAAAGAAAAGGAAACAATCGGTTAAGTAGAGCACAGAGGAGGATTGGAAATGCAGGAAGCAAGACAAAAAGTTCACAATTTGCTATAACAAATGCATAATACAGGAGCTTAGAATTGAAAAAACAGAATGGCTGACAATCCTGTCATTAAGGGTTGATGAAAAGCCCCCATTGGCAGTCATCTTGGCAAACCCTGAGGAACTAGGACTTGAGGCAGAGCACCAGCATGAAACTACCTTTTGAAAAAATGCCACTTGTTCGTCCCTGGGTGGGGCTCGAACCACCATCCTTTCGGTTAACAGCCAAACGCGCTAACCGATTGCGCCACAGAGACAGGGCCCCATGTGTTCAGACACTGGAATCGTTTCCATAGGTTTGCTGTCGTTTTACAAGGACACTGGAAACGTTCCATAAAATGCAGGAAACATGCTGAAACATGCAAAAAAGATAAATAAGGAAATGCAGGATGCAAGTCCGTACATGCTGCATACAGGGCAGCAATGGTGAGAAACACATCCTCAAATGGAAGGATTTAGCCATCAAGGTCAGGCGACAAGGCAATATGTGCAAGAAACCAGTCATCAAATGAAGAAAAACAAGCCAGAAATAGGAAAAAAAAGCCAGCTATTGCAAAAAAAATCAAGGCAGAAAATGGAGGAATCGGGTCCATAAAATGCGGAAAACAAGCCTGATTATGCAAAAATCAAACCATGAAATGCAGGCTGCGAATCAGTTAAAGCAGAAAACGGGCCAGAAATGGTAAAAAAGTAGTCTTCAAATGAAGAGAAAAGGACATCAAAATGCAGCAGAAAAAGCCTTTGAATTCAAAAAAGCCTCCCCATCAAATGCAGACAACAAACTAGAAATGGCAGGAAACTTGCCAGATATTATGGAAAATAAGCCAAAAAATGCAAGAAAGATGCCATCAAATGCAGGGAACAAACTAGCTCCTGTATGCAACAAGACATCAATTTTAGGAAACAGTACAGCTAATGCAGGAAACAAGCTAAAAAATTTGCTGGCTTATTATCTGCCCATGATAGTATGTCTCCAGCATTTAAGAGCTTATTCAAAAAAAAACAAAAAAAATCATGCAGGATCAAAAAGCCAGAAAATGCAGCAAGTAAAGAAAGAAACGGAACCAATCGGTTAAGTAGTGCACAGAGGAGGATTGGAAATGCAGGAAGCAAGACAAAAAGTTCACAATTTGCTATAACAAATGCATAATACAGGAGCTTAGGCCAGAATGGCTGACAATCCTGTCATTAAGTTTTGATGAGAAGCCCCCATTGGCAGTCATCTTGGCAAACCTCTGAGGAACTAGGACTTGAGGCAGAGCACCGGCATGAAACTACCTTTTGAAAATGCCACTTGTTCGTCCCTGGGTGGGCTCGAACCACCAGCCTTTTGGTTAACAGCCAAACGCGCTTAACCGATTGCGCCCACAGAGACAGGCGCCCATTATTTCAGAGTGGTGTGCTGGTTTCAAGGACACTGGAATCGTTACATAGGTTTGCTGTCGTTTTCACAAGGATACTGGAAACGTTCCATAAAATGCAGGAAACATGCTGAAACATGCAAAAGATAAATAAGGAAATGCAGGATGCAAGTCCGTACATGCTGCATACAGGGCAGCAATGGTGAGAAACACATCCTCAAATGGAAGGATTTAGCCATCAAGGTCAGGCGACAAGGCAATATGTGCAAGAAACCAGTCATCAAATGAAGAAAAACAAGCCAGAAATAGGAAAAAAAAAAGCCAGCTATTGCAAAAAATCAGGCAGAAAAAATGGAGGAATGGGTCCATAAAATGCGAAAAAACAAGCCTGATTATGCAAAAAAAATCAAACCATGAAATGCAGGCTGCGAATCAGTTAAAGCAGAAAACGGGCCAGAAATGGTAAAAAAGTAGTCTTCAAATGAAGAGAAAAGGACATCAAATGCAGCAGAAAAGTCTTTGAATTCAAAAAAAAAAGCCTCCCCATCAAATGCAGACAACAAACTAGAAATGGCAGGAAACTTGCCAGATATTATGGAAAATAAGCCAAAAAATGCAAGAAAGATGCCATCAAATGCAGGAACAACTAGCTCTGTATGCAACAAGACACAAATTTTTGAAAAGTGCTTGCAGGAAAATAAAAATTTTCTTTTTTTTCCCCCCGAAAGTTACATTTAAAGATTCCCAAAAAAAAAAAAATTTGGGCAAAAAGCCCGAAAAAGACAAAAAAAAAAAGGAAAACTTAAGGAGGGGACAAGGATATTGAAAAACAGGAACAAAAAAAATTACAAGAAAAAAAAAACAAAATCAGGAGGGGGAATGGGAAAAAACAACCGGGAAAAATTAATTTAAAAAGCCCCTTAAAAAATTTGGGGAAACCCCCCTTTTAAAAAACTTTAGGCGGGAAAAAAAACCCTTTTTAAAAAAAAGTCTCCCCCCAAAAAACCCCCCCCTTTGTAAAGGGAAAACCCCCCCGGGGAAAACCCCGAGGGGGCCCTTTTGGGGAAAATTTGGCCCTTTACAAGGCGGAAACCCCAAAATGCGGAAAAGGCATGAAGTAAATTGAAAAAAGGAAAAAAAAATTCATCAGGGGAAAGGGAGAAAACACCCCAAAAAGGGGAAAAAACCCATCGGTAGGGACAAGGGAAAATTTCAAGAAAAACCCCCAAAAAAAAAAAAAAAAAGAAAAAGGGGGGTAAAAAACGGGAAAAAGGGGGTGGGCCAAAAGCGGCAACCTGATTTAAAAAAAAAAAAAATCTTAAAGCAAAAACCCGTTTAAAAAAGCTTTTAAAGAAAAACTAAAAAACAAAACTTTTAATTTAAAAAACCCCCTAAATCGAAACCTGAAAAAAGGAAACCAAAAATTAGGAAAAAAAGCAAAAAGCAAAAAGATATAAATGCAGGGAAAAAAACCAAAAGCAAAAGTAATTTGGAAAAAAACAAAAGAGGAAAAAGCAAAAATTTTTTTGGACGCCCCCATGTTTTGCTCCCGCATTTAAGAGACCCCCAAAAAAAAAAAAAAAAAAACCGAAAAGAGAAAAAAAAGAAAGGAAAAAAATTTAAAAAACAAAGGAGGGGGGAAAACAGGAAAAGCAAAAAACAAATTTTAAAAAAAATAAAAGAGACAAAAGGGGAAACCCCCCAAATTTTTTTTAAAGCCCCCTTGGCATCACCAAACCCTTTAGGAACTTCCGGGTTAGGAAGCAGCAGAAAATCCTTTAAATGCCAGTTGCCCCTGGGGGTAAACACCTTTGGAAAAAGAAACGAGGCAAAAAAAAGGGGCCTTTTTTCGATGGTGTCTGCTTTTTCCCCAACAAAAATTTGCGTCCCAGGATCGAAAGTAAAAAAGCAGGAAACATGTAAAGCAAAAGATAAATGGGGGAAAAAAACAAAAGTAGCAAAACAGAATGGGGGAAAAATTAAAAAGGGAAAAAAAGGCGGGGGGCCAATAGGGTAAGAAAAGCCCCCCGGAAAAACAACCGAAATAGGAAAAAAACCAGTTTGAAAAAAATCAAGGGTGGGGTCTCAAAATGGGAAAAAAAAACCTGTTAAAGGAACAAACAAAAAGCAGGCCCTTTTAAAAAAAGCCCAGAAATAAAAAGCTTCAAAAAGAAAAGGGAAAAAGGGAAACAAATAAGAAAGGAACCAAAAAAGTCCCCCCAAAAAAAAGCAAAAAACAAAATGGAGGAAATTCCAAATTTGGAAAATAAACCCAAAAAACAAAAAAGCCCAAAAAAAAAAAATTTAAAAAAAAACACAATTTAGGGAAAAAAAAAGCTAAAGCAAAACAAGCAAAAAATTTGGGCTTTTAAAACCCCTGATATGGTTTTCCCTTTAAGAGCTTATTCCCAAAAACAAAAAAAACTGAATAAAAAAAAAAAAGAAAAAAGAAAAAAAGAAAAAAAATTTGAACAAAAAAATTAAATGCAGGGGAACAAAAAAAGTTAAATGGAAAAAAAAGGAAATTCAAAAAAGGGAAAAACCAAAAAGGGAAAAAACTGTCTTGTTTTTGAAAAGCCCTTGGGAAAATCCAAAGAGGAAAACCATTGGGGGGAAAAAAACTTTTTGAAAAATGCCACTTTTGGCCCCTTCCAAAAAAAAAAAAAAAAGCCAAAAGCCAAAAAAGGGCCCCCAAAAAGGGATAGGGAAAGGTTCAGGAAGAAGGTTTTTCTGTCTTTTTTCAAAGGGGAA